TCAATTCATCACATTTCACAAACAAGGAATTTACACACACACTTTAAAAGTAAAAAAGGCTTTGCTAGGTGGTCAACACCACTCCCTTCATCTTGCACATTGAGCCAGGGGACAATAACTATTCTCCCTGTATCTGAAGAACTGATGATAGCCCCACTTGCAATTCTGTAAACATTGTCCATCAGTACATTTTCAGCTGCATCTATCTCCACTTCTCAAATGAAGCTGCATCAGTTTGCCCCTTCTTTCCTTTTAAGGAGACAAAAACCAGGATAACAGGTTTCTTACTTTCCAGGCCAAATTCTCAGAATGTTTATTGGTCCTAGAAATATCTGTACTGATCTGCCCTAGTGCTTCTATACCCTGTATTTCACAAAATATTGGACCTTAAAAATGAATGTTGTTTAAGCCAAGAAAATATCAAACTTGAGAGCTGGGAAGAGAAAGTCTGACAATTTAGGTAGCTGTAGCTCATTTTGAGAGTGTGAACAGTTGCAGCTTCTGACAGTACCATGTAAGGCCTTTCAAACTTCACTGGGAAAGGGAACCATTGGAGTGGTAAAAATATTAACTTTTAAGTTTTATAAAACTATCAAAGTTATACATAGTTAATATTTCATAACTGCAACAATATTTAAACACCCAATCCTTAAAAACTGTAATTGGAATAAACTATCATTTCTCCGGCCATGCTTCACTTCTAAATAATTTAACCAGTCCAAATGTCTCAATCAAGACTGTCATGTTAGAGGTCAATTCTTTACACTCATTTAAAAGCTGGTATTCTTAGTTGCCTTCACATAGTATAAAGAAGTGATCCTAGTAGCTACAAGGACAGTAGCCACTCAAATCACATTGGAATTGGCATAATGACAGAGAGGTACTAAGGTAATTAAAATAAAGCAATTTTAAGGGTACAGCATCTCATGGACCACCAGGTCTAGAAATGAATGTGATACTGCAGATGAAATTCAATGTTGCCAAAGTAATGCACATTAGAAAACATAATCCCAACTATACATACAAAACAATAGGGTCTCAGTTAGCTGCTACCGCACAAGAAAGAGCTCTTGGAGTCGTCATGGATAATTTTCTGAAAACACTGCTCAGTGTACAGCAGCAGTCAAAAAAGCTAACAGAATCTTAAGAACCATTAGGGAATGGTCAGAAAATAAGACAGAAAATATCATATGCCACTGTATAAATCCATGGTACGCCCACTCCTTGAACACTGCCTGCAGTTCTGGTTGCCCCATCTGAAAAAAGATATACACTTCTACCTCAATATAACTCTACCAGATATAACACGAATTCAGATATAACGCGGTAAAGCAGCGCGTGGGGGGCGGGGGGGGGGAAGGAGGGGCTGTGCACTCTGGCGGATCAAAGCAAGTTCGATATAACGCGGTTTCACCTATAATGCAGTAAGATTTTTGGGCTACCGAGGACAGCGTTATATCGAGGTAGAGGTGTATTAGAATTGCAAAAAGTACAGAGAAGAGTAACAAAAATTATTGGGGGGGGGGGAGGAGGAGGTATGGAACAGCTTCCATATGAAGAGAGATTAAAAAGACTGCAACTGTTTAGTTTAGAAGACAAATATATGATATGATAAAGGAAAAGATCACAAATGGTATGGAGATAGTGAAGAAGGAAGTGTTAATTATCCCTTCACATAACACTAGAACCAGGGGTCACCCAATGAAAGTAATAGGCAGCAGGTTTAAAACAAACATAAGGAAGTACTTCTTCACACAATGCAGTCAACCTGTGGAACTTACTGCCAGGGGATCTTGTGAAGGTCAAAAGCATAACTGGGTTAAAAAAAATAATTAGATACATTTATGGAGGATAGGTCTGTCAATAGCTATTAGCAAGATTGTCAGGGACACAACCCCCATACTCTGGGAGTTCCTAAGCCTCTGACTGCCAGAAGCTGGGCCTGGATGACAAGGGATCAATTGGTAATTGCCCTGTTCATTTCCTCTGAAGCCTCTGGCACCAGCCACTGTTGGAAGCCAGAATACTGGGCTATGTGGACCAATAATCTGAGCCAGTATGGCCATTCCTATGTTCTTATAATGTCCCCTTCCATAGTGTATTACAATGGTTAACAGCTTTTGTTTCTAACCCTGGTGGTTTGCAAGATATTGGAACAAGACAGTCACTGATCCCTCAGATCAGCATTGTATTTTGGCATAGACCATGGATTTATAGAAAGTACCAGACCTGAGACCAATTTAGTTTTCAACCTATATACAAAAATTCAGAGCAGCATAAATATCATCCGCCAAATATCAGATTCTCCCTTATCTGTGACAGCTGGATACTTGGAGATGGAGTTTGGACTAATGTGTGAACATCCACCAAATTTAAATCACTATAATGGTGGGATATTCATTGGACACCAATAGACAAACAAGTTAAACCAGATTTCACTTAAATGAAAGTACGCTAGCCAAAGTTGACCCAGTTTCATATAAAAATTTATTTGACTGCAGAAATCAGTGCCAGTAACAGCTGAAGAGGCCATATGGGAGCATCATGTTGAGGGAATAATCTCTCTTACAGTGTCTCTTCCACCCAGAACCCAATAAATCCACTGTCTCTTCCTCAACCCGGTGTCATCCCAACCCCATAGTCCTCACTCAAAGATTAATAGATTTGGCTCTCGAATCAGTTACACACACGCTTTCAATTACCTCGCTCCCCCTTTCCCCGATCTTTATTTTGCAGGAACGAGGGAAAACGTTTCAAAGTTTAATCCGGGGTTGAAATACACAAAAGCTCCAGCTGCAGGCGAGGAGCGCGCAGAGAGGCAGAGACCCCAGACCGTACCCACCCCGGGGCACAAACTGGATTCTAGTCGGCGCCGCCCAGCCCCTCCCCAGTCCCCAGAGCAGCTAAGGCGAGGCGCTGGGGCAGCAGACGGGGAATCCCCGCCGGAGAGATGGATGCGGGGGGATGCCCCCAGGGGCAAAGCGCTGTACCGGGCGAGGGGATCTGAGCAGGGGATTGGAGGGGGAGGTGCAGCAGCCGGGCAGAGCTGCAAACGGGGTGAGCCAGGCGGGGAGACAGGAGCAACCCCCCACCCCCCTTGCGGCTCCCGAGGGCACGGGGCGACGGGGGCGGGAGGGGCTGTTATTGTCTCTACTCTCTCGCGGGGCAGCGCCCCCCAGCGTGCCGAGAGGTGGCGGCCGGGGCCGGTCACATTCCCGAGGGAGGCGCGGTCGGGACTCGCCTCCACCCGGGCACGGGATCCCCCTGGCCGCGCTCCCCTCCCGGGGCAGAGCGGGGCGAGGGCGCTCGGAGCCGGACCTACCTGCGGGGACAAAGCGGCGGCGGCGTCGCCCCGGGCCCACGCGTGTTGCGGGGTGCGGTGCGCTGCGTGCGGCGCTGGGCTCCACCCGTAGGGCGGCGGCAGCGCCGTTCGGGTCCCCGGTGCTGGTGGCAGCTCGTCCCCTCCCCCACCCCCCGTGGGGCTCAGTTCCGGGCCGCCATGTTCTCGGTGGGTCTGGCGCAGAGGGTTTCCCGGATATGGGCAGTTCCCGGCCTCCTTTGCGCGTATTCCCTGCTGCTCCCCCCACCCCCCTGGACTGGAATGTGAGTAGCTCGGAGTCAGCATTCCGGGCCGGGCGGGCCCTGCGCGGGGGAACGGGCCGCGAGCGCCTCACGCGCGCCCTCGTCCTGGCTCTGGCAGCGGCCCTTAGCACAACTCCGCCCCCCAAGAAAGGCGCCGTTTCTGGTTGGCTGATGCCTGAGGATTCCAATCCCCTCCCAGCCGCGTCTCAGTGCAGAGTTATTTGGTGCGTGCAAAATAATCTGGTGAAGCCACGCCGGGGTGGCGGCGTTCTTATCGGCGGGGTTCCAGGCAGGAAGGCCTCCAGGAAGCTGAGTCATTTTGCAGTCCTCACCCCTGCATATCGGGGTTTGTGGCTGCCCACATTGACCTGTCTCTCAAACGCCACTGAAATTCCGCTGCGGCGCAAATTCCATGCCCCGTACGAAACCGGTTCAGAAAGCTGCACCATTGCCTTCGTGGTAAATGAAACCCGGGTTGGCACGGAGTGGGGTCCCAAGCAAGATAACTATATGTCACTTTCTCTGCGGTCCGTGAAGTTCGCCACGCGTCCTCTGTCGTAAATCCATCACCCCAAACTTATTCACAACCGGCAGCATGAGGGCAGACGGCCATAGGGTGGATTAAACAAGTCTTTAATTAACAATAGATGTGGCATATTTTGCAATTTTGTCACAAGGTTTGCTACGCTTTCCTGTCTACCAACACTGGCCGGAGCAGTATTGCAGAGACCTGGTAACTATGGTTAAGGTTAAGATTTTGTCATGGTTATTTTTAGTAAAAGTTACAGACAGGTCTCTGGCAATACACAAAAATGCATGGGAGCCATGACCTGTCCGTGACTTTTACTAAGAATAGCGGGGGGAGAGGGGGATCACAGCTGGAGCTCTATGGGGGAGACTTAGAGCCCAAGCCCTACTGCAAAGGGTGAGGGGGACTGATAGCCCCACTGCAACAGGAGGCGCACAACCCTAGCTCCAATCCTGGCCGCAGCTGGGGGGCGGGGGCACACAGCTCTGGCTGAAGCCAAGGGTTAGGGTCGCACAGCCCCAGCTCGACGCAGGGTTGTGTGGGGGCACACAGCCTCGGGCCCAGACGCAGGGTTGCGTGGG